TTCAGTTCTATGACAAGACAATATGTAATAAACAATAATTGTTTACCCCTTGCTATTTACTAACTCACACAATAACTTGCGGCCAAAGGTACAGAAGTCCCTCAAAAATCCAGAGACACAGCATGGACATCTGCTTTACAACCAATACTCAATTGTATGAAGTGTATAGAAACACTTTAATAGTCAGGTAGGAAGTATTTATTCAAGCAACAGCACTTTTGGTCACTACTTCAAATAGGGGTGTTACAATTTCTCTTCTGGAGTTGCTGTTCATGCAGTAGGTGTACAGTTATTTTTTTTGTTGTAAATTATTTATAAAGAGGGTAACACTGAGAATAAAAATACAAAAATAGATCTCAGTAACAAAACAGTGAATAGTAACAAGAGTAAAGTACATGCGTTCATTAACATATGTAACAACCACAATGTGTAATTAACATTTCCTTGTAGGTCACTTTCGTACGACTGTTAAAATGAAGACGGCAACAGGTATCACTATCATATAGGAACCATAATGCCCCGACTGCAGGAAAGTAGGAGCTGGTCTTTTATCTGAGGTAACCCTTTTCTTTTAAATGCCAAACACAGGATACAAACTAGCCAAGTGCCTGCAGTACAAAGCTAAACAGGGATAAAAGGAACTACCCCATGGGGTGAGGGTAAGAAGTGAGGGTGAGTGGTGAGGAATCCCTAAAAAAAGGGAAACAAAATGCTGGTACAAGCAGCTGAGAACTTTTAACACAGAGTAGAAAGCTATAGTCAGAGAAAGAAAACAAGTCTCAGAGCAAAGAAGCAGAAAAAAGGAGACCCAGAAAGAAGAGAGAAGAGAAAAAGGAGAGAGGGAAGGGGAACTCTCCAGTGGGCCATGGCCATGGAGGTGAGCCATAGCATGTCATGAACAGACGAAAAGAGAAGGACAGATGAACTAAAACAAGGAGGCCTTGCCTTCTGCAAAGTCCAGAAACTCCAACCAGTAGAACCACATTTTGAGAGGACAAAAGAAGATCCTCCATCACTCAAATCTCCTCCACTCTTTGGATCCAGTAGGAGACAGAAGGGGGTGTTAAGTCCTTCCAAAATCGTGGGATACATGACTTTGCAGCATCAAGTAGTGATGGAGCACAGAACGACTGTAGGTTCTCTTAGAAATATTAAGAGTTGTGGAGTAAGAAATAAGAAGGATCATTCAGAATAGGAAAGTCCATGATATTTTGTATGATGGATTGAACTGATGTCCAAAAGCAGGACAACATGGGGCAGGACCAGAATAAATGGGTCATAGTGCTTAATTCCAATTTGCATCACCAACAAACCTCAGAGGTTCCCTGATAGCATTTACTCAAGAACACTGGAGTCCGGTACCAACTGGTAAATATCTTGTAATTGGTTTCTTGATATTTCATACAAATGGAGGATTTGAGGGAGAAGTAAATAATATTCTGGTATTGTTCATCCATGAGAGATGTAACTAAAGTTCTTGCTCAAAGGAACAACCGTTTAATACGTTTGTAGCGGGGTAGCGAGAAGTGCATAAAGCAGAGACAACATATGTCTCAGAGGTCCATGACCAGAACAAAGCTTCTCAAAAAGGGTCATCTGTTTGTGGAGATTCCCTGGTGGTGGTAAGGACCACAAAAAGTGCCACAGTTGTAATGCCTTCCATAGGTCTAGGCTGAACTGGCCATCTGAGCTGGTTAGATCGGAAATAGATGACCGTATTTCCCCTGATTTGAAATGCATCACCTAGGGATATACTTCCAAGGGGATGGAAGAGACACACCAGGGAGTCCCAGACATAGGAAAAGAGGAAAAACTGTCTTCCAGACCTACCCACAATTTGAGGTTGGCAAGTCGAGACCAGTCAAGGAGTCGTGCTTGATGACATGCAGTCTGGTATTTTGTCAACATCAGACAAAAAGTTTTCTTTAACTCTTGGCGCTAATGGCTGCCAGCTGAACGATCCACTTGCTGTTGCATACTCAAAGTTTTCAACAGTTAATCACAGTTTTTCACACAGACTTGAGGGGCTGCTCATCCAAGGCTCTGTGATACCATAGTCGGGGGTGGTACCATGTGGGTTAACAGACAGTGTGGCCTCTTGTTTGTTGTTAAAGCCTGATGAAAGCGTTTGCTTGTGAGTACATTTATCCTTTGTTTTATTTATCCTAATAAACGATTTTACACACGGAGGTAGTGCTCTGTTTTGGTATTTTGTCAAGTCTGGAAGGGCTACCCCTCCAAGCAATTTTGACGTTGCAAATCGTAAGAATTGAGCATTTCAATCTAGGGCGACGATTAGCCCATATGAAGTTCATAAACAATGCATAGGCTTGTTGGAAAAAAAGAGGAGAAACATGGAGTGGAAGAGCCTGGAGAAGGTATAAGAACTTAGCAAAAATAGATATCTTAAGTATTTTGCAGCGGCTGAACCAGAAATGTTTGCCAGATTACCATTTTGAAACCAGTGACCGAACTTAAAGGAGGGGAGGGAAATTAAGAGAAAAGTTGTTTCAAGTATCTGGGGGAATGTTGGTGCCTAAGTATTTGATTACAGTAGAGAGCCATTTAAATTTTAAGGTGGAGTGGAGGCCTCTCATTTGAAGGGATGATGGAGAGATCCCCATCACTTCCAATTTATGGAAGTTGATTTCCAATCCCGATTAATCACTGTATTCCTTGAATGCACACATAACATTTGTGAGCTAAACCAATGGGTTGGTAGGAGTGAATAAGAAAAACAGTGCAAATATATGTAAACAGCGCACACCCACCTAAGCATCTTCTTGCTTAGACCGATGTGTTTCAGGACTGCAAACATAAACTGCCAGTTTACCCTGTCAAATGCTTTTTCAGCATCAGTTGACAAGACAAGACAGAGTAAGTAGAAGGAGGCAGCTTTGTAAAGGTAATTACTTTAACAGTACAGTCATGGGCCTATGAGTGGAAATAAAACTCACCTGGTCAAGATGTATGGGAGAAGGTTTATGCGGTAGCATTCTGTTGGCCAGGATTTTTATGAAGGGTGTACAGTTTTTTTTCTATCAACATTTCATTGCACTGGAGTAATGCTTTAAATTGGGTGCCTCTGCATGTTATTTTGGTGGGACTTCTATGTTGTTGGTTACAACTACTGCCAGAACTTCACTATTAATTTTTTGTTAAGTCTCTAGAAATCACCTAATTTTAATGATCTGTGAGGAGACAGAAATATTATTCACATGCTGATCTATGAGTTCTTTACTCCTTCCAGATTATACAAACCATACAAAAGACCTGGTTCTCGTTTTTTCTTTCCAATTTTTGCAGTTCTCCGCAGCCCAATGTGATATATTGTCATGAATAGTAATAGTTTTGCACACAGATTTTAATCAATCATTCTCCTGCAATAATGATTTCCCCATTTTAATTATATACTGTAGTGAGATACTTCAAGAACGAAAAAAATGTTGTTAGAGACTAGAAATGAAAACACTTAGTTTGCTATGGGCAACAAATTAGAGTTCAGTTCATATAGCTAAGAATAATGGTGCTCTAACCATTAGCAACCAATAATGACTTATCCTTTCTTGTTCTATACTGCACTATCCTGCAAAAAGCTGAAATCTGACTCGGTGCTTAAAGTTACTGCACAAATTTGCTCTCAGCACCATGTTACTAAATAAAGGCTATCGTGTTTCTGAAATATTGGCATTTCAGATAGCTTATATTTATTTTATAATACGTCCTATATGGTAACTTGATCTCATAAAAAAGTAACATTTATACATGATTTAAAGCACAAGCACTTGATTGTTTAAAAGGATATGAAACAGCTGAATGATTTTAAGTATTGTCCACAAATATAAAGCAATGTCGATTGATGCAAAAACAAATTCATCTTGAGACCTAGGTTTGAGCATGCTTAAACATGCTTGAGCAGGCCTCTACAAAAAGAGAGGCCACAAGCAGACCGCTTGTTACAAACAGCTCAGGGATGTCTAAGGTACTACATTATATTTGTGGTTTTCTTTAATAACAATTCAGCTATTTCACTATAAAATACAACATATATGAAAAAAAATACACCTATGTAACATTAATTTTCTCTTTACCACTTTATGAAAAGGCATTAACATTTAGTTTATTGGACCTCTATTTACAAAAGTGCAATAAATAGCTATATACATACTGTAGATAGGAAGGATACACTTATTTAAAATAGTGCACTGCTCCCTGGTAAAAAGTTAACTTTCATGTGTAAAAAACATAATTTGCCTGACTTCCCAAAAAATGAAAAGAAAAAAAAGGGAATAAACTCATACATTACATTATCATTTTAATTGGTTATTTCAGGTAATTGATTGTATCAAAGTAATGTAATTTACATATATTAGCAGCATTCATTAAAAGTGAGCCTTGTGCAGGATCACAGTTGTGACACCTTATGTCATAAAAAAAAGAAAGATTTTATTGAGAATTCCAAAGAAACTCAATTACCCATGATGCTCACTCAGTTATTTTGCTATTGGTTGCAGCAGATAATAAATATGATACTGTTAGTTACAAATCGATAATCTCACTTTTGGAAAAAAAAAGTCGCCTTTGGCTTATAGACTTGTGCTGGTTATCCACTCAGAATCTATCCACTAGAAAAGACAACAGCACCTACGTCAGTCAGTTTAGGAAGCATAACGTCTTTTCAAGTCACAGTAAAATCTCCCAGCATTTTTGGTTATATTTTTTAACAAAGTACAAAAATAAAGCTTTATTCCTCATTTTTAAATGTAAAAAATATTCTTTTGGTGCAGTAAGTTGAAGCTGTGACATTGATTTCATAGCTTATTTAATAAAATGCCTTTAGCACTAGCTCAAAACTATACTTACACTCACCTTTTTAAAATGTGCAGTTTCATTTATTGACATTATATTATTTTGGTATAAATAATTTGCCTTTTACCACATAATGCTCTCTTGTTTTTACTAGTGAAGACACTTTATTAAAAATGCCAATTTGCGGTTTCTTAACCTGGCTTTGTGGGGCGTATTCTTTTAGTCCTCTTTGTTACTGTAGTATATTTGAAAGGCTTCTGTAGCTCCACTACACCTTTAGGATTCCTCTTCATAAAATGAACATCTTGCTGATTTTCTCGAGTTTTCGGACCTTTGCGTGGTCTTCCTTTTTTTGTAAATCCAACATACCAGCCAGTGTATTTAGCGGACATCAAAGCCGTGTAGTTATTTTCTAACACTTTTTCAATGAAGACACATTCCTTGCTAGATCCATCGGGCTAAAAATTAACAAAATAAAAAAAATCAATAACAAAGCTTCAGTGCACAAATTCTGTAGATTTTTAATGGGAGCCCCTACAACAGAAATATGGGAACTGCAATAGATATTTTTAAAGGTACAATAGCTCAGTGTCTGTCATGATGATACTGGCTTCACAATCTTGTAAATCACTGACCAGGAAAAAGCATGTAAGGGAGGTGAGACTTTTCTGGCTGCTTAATTTTTCTAGGTAAATGGTTGACTCGTTAATGAAGTCAAAATCATGCTGAGCACTGAAGACTGTAAATGTATAAAAATATTACCAATACCATATTTCAGTCCACACAGGTTCACCTTAAAGTGAATATCCACTTTTGCAGCACATTGGGATAAAATCTACTTTACATTTGTTGCATGATCCCATTTACTGGGGTTGGGGGGAGATTTGTTTATAATAATTAACCATGCCTGTCCTGTACTGTAAGATTTCATTATCATTTGTAAACTGAGCAGGACTGTCTGTTCTAGCACAGGGTTAAAGACCTGAAGAGATTGTATGTTCATAGGCATGTGCACAGGGTGTGCCTGGGCACAACCTAATCAGGGCCACCCATAGGGGGGTACAGCCGGCCCTCCCATAGCGCACCTCAAACGTACCTCTGGCTGCAATCTGTTTGACCGCAATACCGTGCATCCTGAGTGAAAAAAAAGGTTGTTTTCTAGTTTTTACAACACACCTCCTGCACTGTATCCCACGGAACTGCACCACATTGGTGTGAACGGGCCCACAAGAAAGAAATTCCACTCACGTCTGACTTCCTGACCATTACACTCTGCATTACATACTCCTGATCACTCCCCTCTGCATTACTTACCTCTGACCCCTGCACTCTACATTACGTACTACTGACCTCTGCTTTACTTACCTCTGACCCTTGCACTTACATACTACTGGCCGCTGCACTACTTACCTCTGGCCCCTGCATTACTTATCTTTGACCCCCCACTCTACATTACATACTATTGGTTTCTGCACTACTTACATCTGACTTCTGCGTTACATAATACTGACCTCTGCATTAAACACCTCTGACCTCTGCACTCTTCCAACCTCAATTACTTTTTAATGGGTCCTAATTTTTTTTATCTCTTATGCTGTTTAGGTAGATCTCCTTCCTCCCTCTAGTGTTACCTACTCCTGCCTCACAGAGATAGTCACTCGGATTTTGTCTCTGCTATGCTACATTCATCCGCCTACCTCCCTTTTGCACAAACTCTTCACAGAATAAGCAGAGGGGGAACGGAGCAAGACTGGGTGTGGCTGAAGAGTCCTAAACAGCGAGCTGAGTGACAGAGTTCTAACTAGTTTTATTACACAGGATTTTTGTCACCTACACAAAACTTTAACCTATCAGAACCCACAACAGGTGTCGCAGGACTCAAGCAGAAGAGTCTGGGTCCAGGGCCGGTACAAGGATTTTTGCCAACTCAGGCGAAGGTGCATTTTGACGCCCCCCCCCTGCGGTCAGCGCCGCACATGCGGCTGAGCGGCCAGGGGAACCAAAGGCGGGGCCACTTACGTCACTCACTGACGTAGGAGGACGTAGCCAAGGACAGTGAGACTGTCACTGAGACGTGAGAGAGACTGCACAGGTTAGCGCCCGATCGAGACCAGTGTGTGGGCTGCCGCTGCGGGCGGGCGGCATCTAAAGAACAAGTCCCCGCCGGCCGCAGCGGCAGCCCACACACTGGTCTCGATCGGGCGACTATCACTGTCAATTTTCCGCCCTGTTCCCTGGCGCCGTAAGGCAAGTCCCCATGTTGCCTTGCGCTAGCGCCGGCCCTGTCTGGGTCTGTGATGTTTTCTAAACATTATATGCCAAATATGTTTGCAGTGTAATTGGTGTTTGTCACTGTATTCTGGGCCTGCTGGGTTGTCACACTTTAAATATGTTGTACAGACTAAAAGTTGTAACTAGCTAAACAAATGCTCACATATTTTACTAATGAACAATACCTTCTTAGCTGTATTTCTCTCCTTATTATAATTAATCTTCCTGTATATACAGTGTTTTAAAATTAAATTGTACAAGAGGTTAACAATATGGCACTTGTAGTGCCACACCAATTTAAAATGAATGCCCTGCCCCTAATTTAAGTACATTCTCCACCTACACTGGCTTGCTGCACATATACCACAAAAGGTGTAACTGAGCTGTCTAATGAGAGCTCCCTGCCCAGAAGACTCCTATCGCCCCTACTCTGTGTGGACTGCCAGCGAGGCACCAGGCCCAGGCTAACGAGTTGGTGGCCCTTCTCATCAGACCGAGCTGTGGTGCGGATATCTCTTCCTGCTGTCAGGAGGACTGAGGTCTCCAAAGACAGAACCGGGTAACTCAGCCTTTTATATATTATATA